AGCTACACTTTTTCTTATCGTAAAGCAGGGCTTAATCAGAACCGTAGATGTGGCAAGAAGTAGAAATTTCAAGAATCGATTTTATTCAGAACGCTATGAATAATTCACTCTTTCGAAAGCTTTGATATTAAAAATATCAATCATCTTAGTCAATATATTTTATAACGTATAAGAAACGAAAGCCCGAGTTATGAAATTTTATCTTATTTTTTCAAAACTCTGCGCGTATTATTATCGTCCTTTTTGATAAAGGTGGAAAAATATACATCATACTCCTAATTTAACTCTTTCTAATCACATAAAACTCGAAGCAAGAAGAGTGCACTGTCTTAGCGACAATCATCGATGTGAATAATTCAGTAGTCGAAAGGGGCGACTGATATTCACGCAGCTATCACTCCAGGTAATCGATGTTGCGGCAAGTTCGTCGAAAGTACGAGCCGGGCGTACGTACCAAATTATACATATTCTAGGACTACGTGACAATTGGCTCTATCGGACATTGTATCTTGATTTATGCGCTAAGTTCCTAGACGATAGGATCGCGCGGCAAGGGTGGGCAATATGGCGCACGGTAGACGAAAACGGCGCGAACGTGTGTGTATAAAGTTTAAGGAACGATCATCAGGACGTACGTTTGCTCGAAACATAACGAAAAAATACATAAATTAAAAGTCATAAATTAATTCATACGAGTAGATTTAACTGCTGATAAATCCCTTGCAATGATATCGATTCATTGATGCGAGAAAAAGAATGATGTAATATTTTTTTACCTCTTTTCTACACTGAGAAAAAAATCTGGTTGCATTAATTAGAATTGTGATAGATTCAACTAGTATGTCTGTTGGAAAATGGACCAACCAGAATTCTTGTAGGAATTATCAGATGAATTTTAAATTAATTAATTTCTTTCTGTTAAATTTACCTAATTTTCTAATTAATAATACTAAACTCGTCAGCACCAAATCGTCTAAAATTTTTTCCATCTAATCTCAAAAGTCTGTTTAATATTCTGAATTCCAACATTATTACATAAATTCAATCAAGATTATTGAATAAATTATTATTTGAAGTTCAGTAGAAATTAAACTGATAAACAGTGATGCAAGAAGAGGATTCAGCTCAAGCACACGCAATCAGAGAGCTAGCGTCCTCTTTCTGGCACCATTGCTCGTAAGAGAAAAAAAATATACTTTGGATTTAATGTTAATACTAGTTCTTTATATACATTTCATAGCAAATATTGAATACGAGTTAAGTTAAGAGTGGCAAGCAAAGAAATTAATGTAACAAGAAATTGTATAGATCCAACCAGAAAATACTAACCAAATCCTTATAGTAAAATCTATTAAACGTTCTAGTTATAAAAAAATCGAGTTTTATCGCGATAACTAGAAATTCTTGTTTGATTGAACCAAAATGCCTTCAATCATATACGTCTTGTTGGTACAATCAAACAATTTTTCTCAGTGTATTAATTGAGAGAAAAGTATCTAATGTTGCACAAGACGAAAAGAATTTCAAGACGCTTCACTCTCATATCACCTCGAGCACGATACGCGTATAAAATGCGTGCTTATTTTTCCCGATTATATCGATCAATTTGATATTTTCTCGGTACCCTTGAATTCTACAAAGATTGATGGCGTTCAAATATGGATCGCCTGCGCGATCCTCATAAATCGTGCGCGGCTCGCCAAGTACACGGCGACGCGCCCGCGTGCGAAGGTCGGAGTTAGTAGCAGAAGGGTGGCAGCCCAAAACGCGTAAAGAGGGGGATTGCGGGGGGGCGAGGAGGGGCAAGATGCAACGCACATCTATTGATTCTCCTCCGGCGTGAAGGCCCGCGTGGTGCGGCGGGGTTCCGTTCTCGCCGTCTCTCTCCTTCTCGTTGCGGCACACGCAATTTCGCGTGCGCGCACGCACATACGCGCGACAGAGAACGAGTGCGCTCTCGATAGATGCAGGGCACAAAGCAGCACGGAGAGACTCTCGTCCTGCGCTGTCGGAGGTAGATAAAGATGGAAAGAAAGTGAGAGAGACGGGGACAGAGAAGGCGAAAAAGGGAACTGGATCCTGCGAGAAGAGACAGCGGCTCCCTTCTTCTATGCGTGCGTGCGTGCGCCGCACTCTCGGGCGCGTTTTCTCGCTCGCTGACGCATAAGAATTAGAATGCCGGGGCTTGACGGCATTTGCATCGCAACTCGCGTCCGCTCGCAGCCTTTGCACTTGCAACTTTCTTGGAGATGCTTACCGCCGGGGTGAGTAACGATCGTCTTTCCGAACAACGGGTACAGTCCCGGCCAGAACAAGGTTGCGAGGGGCAAACCGAAAAGGGCGACGAAAGAGATCTCCCAAGGAGAACACATCGAGGACGCAATTGATCGATGGGGGGAAAAATATTACATTGTGAATGCGACACGCGTCGGCACTTTTGTCGCATCTTCTCTACGCGATAATGTATCATTAATTACGATAAATGATTTCGCACGTTTGCACTCTTCATTTTCTCGCGAGATACTTGGAGGATAAATATGTATGTAAATATCCTTTACGCGAGACGAGAGTTGCCCTCCGTGAAATGGTAAGCCAATATATCGATGTATGTAAACACATTTTAATTCTCTTTATCGTCGACGTTGTTCCTCGTTCTATCATGTAGAAACTTTACCGTGTAGATCCTAATTATAACATGTCAAAGCTGATCAAGGTCTAGATTGATCGAAGCCTGACTAATTGTTTCGCGTGCGACGTTCAACGAGCAACAATGTCGTTGCTATTTAATATTTACATAATTCGTTACACGTTACTTACATAATACAATTTACATAATAGAATTTATGTAAATGAAAAAAAAGAGAGATCAGCAACCGCGAGGAACCCAACTACCGAGAGAAGACTAGCGGAGAGAGATCCGGTGGTTGCTCTTGAAACCGTTACCGGGATGCAAAGTACGTATCGAGTTTACGGAAATTGTCGGAATGACCCCGACGTGCAGATACACAAACACATGCCGGTGTGTGCTCGCGCCGATATCTGTTACCAAACAAGGGACGAGCATGCGAAAGTATAATGATACAAATCGCGAAACTTATTGGACGCTTATCATCGACCGGGATATTATGTATCGTATTTGAAATGTACATGCGATGTACAATCGATTCCAACGATTTTTTGACTCTAGAATGTTCAAGCTGAACGTACAAACTTTTGAAATATTTTTGGCGACAGAAAAACTATTAAACGATTTTATCTTAAAAACAATATACATTTTGTATTTAATAATGATGCAATATTAAATTATCGAGATGAAACAAATGCAAACTATTAAGAATAAACTACTACGAAAGAAAGAGAGAGGAACAATGTCTCGTCATCGAATGTAATTGCCACTTTCGCGATTATTGTTGTCATTGACGCAGCGACTACGGCTGTGTATCAGCTCTCGGAACACGCACGAAATTCCACGAAAAAGAATGCGATATCAACACCGCGAAAGAGTCGGAGCGAGGTTTTCGATTTTGTGAAAAAAAAAGGCATTCACCGTGGGACGAAATGAAAAGTTGATTTCAACACCGCGAAAACTTGCAAAAACTGGAGCACAGCTGTTTTCGCGCGCGCGCTGGATGCCGCGTTAAATTGAATTAGGAATGAGAGCTCTTGTATGTGCAAGCGCAAAACTTATTACGTCGAGAAATATTTATGCCTGAGAGATACGTGTAAAACTCTCCCCTTTCACGTTACATAATAAAACGTCCCGAACGAGATATTCGAGAAATAAATATCACGTTACATCTCAATGTTAAGAATATAAACTTTGATATTATATATAATTTACATTCCTCGATAAATTGCTCTTGCAATAATATAATTTACATTCCTCGATAAATAGCTCTAAAATTCTATATTTCGCAAGTCTGTACCTGTCGAAGCTAGATGCACGATAACGCGCCTCGACAATTGTTCAAATACTCGAAAATATGTGAAAGAAACGGTTTTTTTCATCGTGCTTTCTCCGCACTTTGACAGAAAAAAGGCAAAAAAATTCATAAACAATGCAGGAGCTCGCTTAACGATGTATCAGTGTGTACTCACCGGCAATCGGGGTGCACTCGCTCGCGTTCCTGTTGCTCGCTCGTCCTCGCGCTTCTCAACCCTTTCGACGGAGCGAAATCGGCGCAGCTCGCTGACGGCGCGCAGCGACCGGGCAATACATCGTCGGCGATGCGTTCCAAGTGTCAGTTCCGGGTGAAGAGAGAGACGACAGGAGAGAAGAGAGACGGAGAGTGGGAGAGTCAGCTGGTCGGCGAGGGGGTTAAGGCGCGCGCGTATGTAATGTGTTTAACTCGCGGCGAGAAAGAGGCGAGAGGGAGACAGATGGAGAGATGCCGGCGCATCAGCCGGTAAAACACGCGGTTAAACACGGCCGAATACTAATGTACGAGTACTAATCACGCCACGCGGATATCTCTCTTGTCCGTACGCTGCCAGCAGCGACGAAAGGGCGATTGAGGAGAACCGGCAGCGATCGCCCGGCGATTGCGAGATGACGATTGGGGGTCGCCTGTGACCCCTCGTCGAAAATTTCGGCCCCGCCGACCGCTGGCGCCTCCTCGCGGAAGCGACGCCATCTCCGCGATCTCTGCCAGTGAACCCGCGAGGTTGCCTCGCGATTGTCGGTAACTGCGACGTGCGAAGAGAAGAGGGGAAGGCAGGAGGTGTGCGTTGCGTAGGATTCGTGAAGGGCTTCCAAGACAGGGGTGAATCTATTAATTTCGTGCCTGGGACTTCTCACGACGTTTATCATTTAATCTTCCAAAAGATCGTGTCCTTAAGTCGTAAATATTTTATATTCTGAGCTCTGTAAGATATATAAATTAAGTTAGTTTGAATCGATGTAACAAAAGAGGAGAGACACTTTAACAATTTCCGTTTACTCGAATATTTCAAAGTACATTAAAGGATATTCATGCGTAGGTGAAAACAAATGCGCTGCATAAATATTTATACTTAACATTTATTCTAAATCCGATACAGCAGCCTCGCTGCTATAAGGACGATGTAAGATTCGAGCAACATCTCGAGAAATTTACAAAACGCGTTTTTCCAATTTTTCCAGCGTGATAACAAGTCTTGCGCGTCCCATCATAAATAATTTTATTTGACTACAGGCATCTGAATCATATATATATAATTAACCGACAATGAGCATATTGTCCTCTGCAAATTCATACGGTGGTACTTCGAGGTTTAGCGGGGCTGGTCCTTTTCTAATTCTACCACTGGCGTCGTAGTGAGAACCGTGACACGGACAGTAATAACCACCGAAGTCTCCCGCGTTTGCGATAGGTACGCATCCCAGGTGCGTGCAAACGCCTATAACGACGAGCCACTTAGAATCCTTTACGCGAGCGCTATCTTCCTCTGGATCGCGGAGACTCGCGAAGTCCACCTTAGCTTCATTCGCGATTTCTGAGTCACTTCTGTAAATTTTTGCGCATCGAGAGGCAAAATAAACGCGTTGCTTGTATATAGAATCGCTAACTAATACTTTTTATTATATAGCAAATTTGTCTGGATGCATTAGAACACTGATGCACATTAAAAGCTGTGGTATTCAAATTTTCAATAACATAATTAAAATAGCAAGATGATTTCTACAAGTTATTATGGTTATTCATCTTGAATAACATTAATAATAATTCATAACACTGATTATCATATTTTATTTACATATGTTATAAATCTATATACAATAGCCTTCAATATGCATTAATGCATCCAATTTTAGCAAACTCGTTATAAATATAATAGAGAGATATCCATAAGATATCCATAATACGATACATACCTATGTCGCACGAACAGAGGCTTTCCACGCCATTTGAAGACAGCGCTCTTACCCTCGGGGATAGAATCGAGCTTTACCTCAATTTTTGATAGAGCGAGTACATCAGCCGAAGCACTTAATATCCCAACAAGGTCATGTACTATTACCTTCGCTCCATAGACACCTACCACTGAAGCTCCTGGATACATTAAAATTGGAAATGAATTATGATTTATATTATTGCTTGAGATTTAAATAAATTGTATCGGATACTCCTTATATACTTGCCAGCTGCTATAACATAAGAGATGGACTTTCGGGATGGTGCAGTGTCCCTTGATTTCGAGCTGGGATCTTTCACTTCCTCTTTGCGATAGTCCGTAAAATCTGGCCATTGAATGTCGGTATGTGCTAAACGTCGCTGATGTATTTGCGTACTAGCTATAATGACAAATCATATCATTAATCATATCATTACACTTGAAGACTAGAAATTTGATCTTTCATACATCTTAGACACAGCAGTAAAGTACAAGTATTAAAGTTGTTAAGATTAACTGCATCGTTAACAGATTATTTTGGAGCAACACTATATATGTAAACTCAACAGAATTGCAACAATCTGCATAGTTCGCGTATTGATTATATAATCGCGAATCGTTCCAATTTCTCGGGAAACAACGCGGGTTCTCGTAAAATACTCGTAGAATAGTTTGTTAATGCGAACGTACTGGTAATTCCCGAGCTTATGCAAGTAGGTCCAGTGAGGAGATCCTGATAGAGACTCTGTCCGAGGGTCCGTTTGACGGTCGGTGGAACGGTAACCTTCGGCTTCTGAATTTTCCCGGTCGCCGCGACGGGTACCCCTCCGTTCGAGACGACCGTTGCCGTTGCCCGCAAAAACGGCGAGACGGTCGTCGATTTTGCAATCACATTCATTTTTACGGGAATCACACGTAACAATGAACGGAACGACAAATCTCGCGACCACGAAACGTTGCTACACTACGCACCGAGTTCTTCAAACAGCAACGCCACTGCGGCCACTTCTGGAAGCTCGAGTAACTACTCCCGACCTGTCGGTAAAGTAGTCGCGCTAATATAGGGTGTTTCAGCAATTGCAATTAACAATTCCATATTTTTTCTTAGAAATAACTATGTTTTCTTTACACCAATTGATTCCTCTCATTATTTTGTACATAAAAGTATTAAGGTAAGATAATCGAAAAATGAATATTTTATAAGATATTTGATGGTTTATGTAAAATTAAGAAATGATTTCAAGCCTCATAACTCGAAAAGTACTTCATGGAAAAATAATTTATTATAGTGTTTTGGAAAGCTCTCGAGGTAAGCTACAAGAATATGCAATGAAAAATAAGGGATTCCATATAAAAAAATTCACTTCTGATCTGAATCGCCTATTTCCGGCCGGAAGCAGAAGTTAAAAATATCACCATTCGATAGAGCGAACCCGATTTATAAAGAAAATGTTTTTACTTTTTTGAAATAACCACTTCTCTAATTTTTAAATGAATGGTACGGGTGGTTTGAAACACCCTGTATATCGGTTGTCCAAGGATGAATGCGGTGGCGCTTCTGTGCGGGAGATTTAACGTATAATTACCTTGTTTCTTTCTTAATTTTTCAATTATATTTATTTCCGAGGGAGATATTGTATTTTCCAAAATTTACGGCGTCTTCTTTTATATTTCAATTGAGAAAAAGTCATCTTTATGATCGAGATTTCTCTCCGCGCATATGTATCAGCGTAAACGAGACGATCCTGGTCGAATGTCCGTGCCATCATGGAGGTGACCGACTCGATCGCCGGCGAGTGACGTCTGTCAAAATGTGAGTGACACTCGCGCGGTTTCGAAGCAGTCGCGACGAGCCTCTATCACGCTCCTGTTTCCATCTCCACGAGGGTCGAGAAGAGGAGGCATTCGGCGACAATCCGCGCGAAAGCTCGGGATCAATGGCGGTCGCGGCGAGTCCCTTCGACGCCTGGCTCAGCAAGAAGCTGCAGGCCCTCAATACGGACGAGGGTGTCTTCGGTACGTACATCAAGGGCATCCTCGAGAGCGACGAGCCCGAGGACGAGAAGACCGAGGCGCTCGAGAGCATACTCGCGGGCATAACGGTGAGTGATTATGGGATATTATGCCGATCATCTGCAGGTTAGAATGCGCGCGGTCGCATCGTCCAGCCGGTCGAAAATAGACGCGAGGTCATTCCGAAAGTACGCGTTTTTGGCTCGCACCCGCACCTCTCCAGCAATCTTGATTCGCACGCGCGTATTTTACGATTCATCCAGTTCGCGGGATGTCTTTTATTAGAAAAATGGAAGCATTAGAGAGAGCAAGAGATAGCGATAAAAATAAAAATTGCAGAGATTGATGCAATACATGGATCTTTAAGAAAATGTTGCCATTTATTTTTTTCTAACTTTCAAACTTGTGGCTGTTTTCTTTCTCAGATACTTTAAGAATATATTGCTGCTTTTAGATGCTTATGTAAGATTGCGCAATGCCTCTTGCAATATAGAGGTTTTTGTTTTTTACAGGAGGATAGTATCAGCAAACATGTAGCAGAAATCTTGAGTGCATGGGCAGAGTGCTTGCCAGCTAAAGATATAGCCACGGCACCTGCACCAACGGAGGATGTCGATGTCAGATTGGTCAAGATGTTGGAATCTCAGAGTCTGCCTACGACAACTCAAAAGAGTTACACAGAGGAAGAAAGACGAATACGGGAAGCTATATTAGCGCAATACAGTCAAATGTCTGATGAAGATAATAGCGAAGGAGATGGAGAAGAGGATGGAGCAAGTGGCGGAGACTGTGGAATTGAAAAGAATTTAAATGCAGCCACTATTGTACAGCAGGAGAGAGAAAAAAGAGAAAAGGCCAAGCTTGAAAGTCAGAAAAAGAAAGAGAAAGATAAAGAAGACAGGTAAAATGATAATTACAGCGTTGACTCTTGTAAATATGTGCATGTGTCTATTAAAGATCGTTAAAATTTTAAATATTTTTTTCATATTTTTCAGAGAAAAGCAAAAGCAATTGAAAGAAGAGAAAAAAGAGAAAAGGAAAACCCAAAAAGGAGAGAGACGAAGGTAGCATCGAAACAAAAATAATGCAAAATTTACCTCAAAATTATCGAATACATATATGACGCTGTATTCGTATACATCTATCCTTATTGTCGTGCATGCAACGATCTCCGACAGTTATTTAAACCAGTCAATCATCTTATATTTTCGTTAGAACGATATGTGTGTAGTATCTGTTGGTAGAAGAGGAATTGTAGACTCAATACGAACACATCACAAAAGAATATCTTTTACGATATAATGTTGGATCATCCTGTGCCTTCTGTCTAAAACATCGTTCCCTTCTTTGAAAGGTTAGTTACTTATACTCACCCTTTTTTTACTCTTTAAATAATTTTATAATTTGTATTCAGAACTCTATGCTATATATAATATTGTTGCTATTAAAATTTAACGACACCATTATATCACCACTTAATCACCATTAAATTAAAAGCAACACAACTCATGTTTACTCGACAACAGATCTGAATACAAATGTAATTTTCATCTCTTGATACGCTTAGCGCATTGCGTTCTATCTTATACGAATTATGTATTTAATACGAATATGTTAAATAAACTATTTAAATCGCTGATGGCACTCAATATTGAATACTCTATAGAATATACATGTTATTCATTAGTATTCTCGATTCTACGTACATTCAAAATTCTCTGCAATAGGGAATGCGAAAGTCCTCTATAAGGAATATAATCGCGGGAATATTCGCAAGACTTGCATCTCGTTGCGTTTGTGTATATATTTTTTTATTAGTATATATTTACACACAAGATGATATACCGAGTCGAAACTGAGTCATCTTGGTATTTGAATTAATAATGAAAGACAAACGCAGTAAGATAAAAACAAACAAACAAATGATACAAAAGATGATGATGCTTCAGTATCGTATCATTACATACATATTATACTAATGTCAATTATAATAATCATTTATTATTTAGCAATTCTCTCTCGTTTGCTATAGTTAAGTGTGGGCAAAAATTGACGAACTCGCACTTATACGTTTATAACAAGACATTCGCAGTTGAACGCCAAATTACAAATCACTATGAACCCTTCGCTCCCATTTATCAGAGTAGTTTCTCTTCTCTCCCTTCCTCCCCTCTTCCCTTAGATAATTCTATTTTCGCGTACCGAGATCTCTTCCGCCTCTACGGGCAGAAACGCAGAGTAAATTTCGTCGCGCGCCGGCATCTAATAATCTAAACAATCCTTCGTCCACACGATATCAATTTTGGAATCGTCTCACGCATCGACGAGAGCTTGACAAACGAGAAACATTCTCGTTCGTACAATTTAGCTCGCGCATCTATCATCTAATAAAAACTTACTAGCGTGTAAATCTAACGTAAACTCGTAATTCTATGATTGTCCTACTGGAGGATGATCTACGAGGCCGTCGCGACAATGACTCTCCGCGATGAACATCATTCGGGATCTTCTTATCGGACGCATTATCCGTCACGGGAAGGGGAAAAGAGTTTTACGCACGCACGCATTATACTATTTTAATTCGATAGCGTCTAATCGCGTCGTTAAAACTCGTTAATTAGTTACACACTGACCTAACGGATACACGCCGCGTGGAGCAACCCTTTACTCAACTATGAGAGAATGCTTGATCTCTCTCTTCTCTTTCACATAACTTTCTTTTTCCTTTCATCAATATTTTAGCGAGATGTGTGTACGTTCGGAGCACGTTCGTTACATCCTGGACTAGAAAAAGCGACTGTCTCTCTTTTTTCCGTCCGCGTCATGTGGAAAAAATCATCCCGAAATATGACAATACGATTATTCCTTTGCCGGATGACGGATTGACCAGATGCAAAGTCGAGCAACTTTCAGTCAACGAACACGAATTTTCGCGGATTACCTCCGATTCGCTGTCTCTCGGATGGTATCGACACATGGTTTGTCTTTTTCGTCCTCCTCCCCCTTTTTCCTTTTTTTAAAAATATAATATTTTTTGTTCTAATCCCGATTTCGCAAAGATCGCTTAACTTCAATTACAGTTTATATTGATTCTTTGTCTCTTCCAGGAGACAAAGATTTATGTCCAAGTTGATCGATACTGGACAAAAATAAGAACATTAGCGCGTTTTTTGCTACTTTAAACATATTTCTTTTATGTTTCTTTAGGCGCACATCAAGTGTATAGGTCGGTATGTGTAATGATACATCTTACGCAGATTACACAACGTTTCTTTTATACACATACGTATATAATTTGATCCCGCTGTATACAATAGTGAACACAACTAAAAACTTAAGACTGTACAATTGAACAATATTTTGGGGAGGGGGCAGAGTCCGTAGATGACAAATTCGCGTGTTCTTTTTTCGAACGCGTTTTTTATCATATTTTATCATTTATCTATTTTAGACCTAACTTGTTTCACTTTTGCATGATTTTTTTTCACGTGCACAATGGTAGATATTTATATAATAGATATATGCATAATTGCGTGTCACACACACACACTCTCTCTCTTTCCCTCTCCCTCTCAAACATTCGTTTCTGCTGAATTCCGGAGACGAATCTCCAATGTAGACACGCACGCACGCACGCATCGTCGTCACAGTTTTATTTTATACCCAATTTGATACACATCTCGAACTCTATAGAAATCGCTGCCTCATAGACGCTCGTCAATTCTTTTTTTCTTTCTCTTTTTCTTTTTTCTCTGGAGTAATCGAACAAAGTGCTCGCCCGAGATTTCGTGATGGTCGACGCGATCACTCGAGAGCGATTACTACAAACCCGCACAAATCGTGTGTATAATACGTAATATTATATATAATATATATGTATATATGCGCTACTACTTCGTCAGTCGTTCGTTCGGGCAGATTCGCCATACGAATTATATTTATATACGTAATTCTTAATGTAATCTCCGCTCGTCTTTATTGGCCATTCGCCGATGATGTCGCGCGATACCACTATGATTGGTACGATATTAATTGTCCTAAAGTTCTCGGGCTAAATGGACTTTGCGTGACAAGTCCGACTTATTCGTTTCGATTTATTAGCGTGAGACGTTCGAAAACTTATCGCGAATGAAACGCTTCGTAAAAGGAACTGAACGAGTTCGCTCTAAAATAAAATAAAGATGAAGCGATATCGATTTGCGGAACGAATTATTAGGAACAATTTCGCTTGTTTCGTTTATTAGCAATATAAAATAATGATTCATTTCAGTCTCTTGCGCGTGATTTACGAATATCGATGTTGTATTCATGTGTCTCTGCTTTAAGCATAATCATTTTTGGCCGCAATAACATATAAAACGCGTGATAATTTGATAGAATCTTCGATCGCTATCGTACGATACAATGAAACTTTTTAGAAATTAATCGAGAGAAGCGTGAAAAAACGGAAGTTGAATCGTTCCGAGATGAAAGCTCGAAATCAGCAAACGGTGGAGTGACGCGTCTCACGTTTCTAATCATAACGATATCATTATTACGAGTTTGAAAATCTTGCATTTACTTTGTGAGACTTTAGAATGGGTACGGGCACATCGAACAATTACCACGTCTAAAAAGTAGCCTAACATTACGATACTCTATACAATATAATTTTTTTCGTCAAATCCTCTGCATATCGCGAAACGCTCGTGATTTCGAAGGGACGCGTCAATCACAAATGACTAATCAATGCCGAAAAGCTACGAGTAATATGTAAATAAGTAGTAAAGCGCGAAAGCGGCGGAGAGGCGTCTTCGCGGGATCGCGTTAATCGATTTTTTTGAATTGATTCCGATGCAATAAAATGCGTGTTACAATATCGCGCTGACGATTAATGACAACAGAAGAGCGTTATAGGAAATTATTGAAAAATTCTCGGCCTTTTTTTTTTTTTTTTTTACCAAGTATATATATTTTATAAAGCGAACTAGCTATGCTGTTCCTGGGATTTAAAAGACGCGTAATTAAAATCTGTACATGCCTACGCGTATGTAAGTAATATTAACTCTGCCGTTATCGACGATAACCTCGTTATTCGTATGCAGCTATATCTTTGCGGTAATAGTAGCGATATAGCGATTATTACAGATATAATAAGAAAATAATGATTAATAGTAAATTGAAATTATTATATTAGCGATCGTTACTTCTTAATATCAGAGAGATCTAAGTAAGACAGTGGTAGTTTAATATCACAATAAGACTACTCAGGCCTCGTTAAACTGGGGCATGCTTCACGTATTAATGTTACTCCTCGCCTTGACGCTTCGTTATTAATCGCGACCCTGTGTTGGCGACACAGGTCGACTCACAGATCTTCGGCGCGACCGTAATTCGATGGTGATCCCGACGTTTTTATTGCAACGTCGGACAAATCGTTGTGTCGACATTGTTTCGCTTCTCTACGCGCATCGTCGCGACGATACATCGATGATGTATGTATGCATTCCTTACATTCGTATTTAAAGTATATTTTGCAGTAATAATATACCTTGCCTTTACTTGCGTGAGTTTTTTTTTTACCATCGACGTTTGCAAATTCGCGGGTTCGCCGACAGTAAGGCAAACTATACACTCTGTGAATATTCTTTATAATTTTTTTTATACCTATGGCCGAGATTTTATCACCCGTCGTACATTTTACATACGTTCGCGAGATAAATATCCGAATCAGCTAAATATGATGGTCCGTGTTAAAACGTAACCGGTACATGTAAACAATGCCGGTGTACCCTTGCTGCGAACAGCAAAATTTACGTTGTTTACGAGTAACTACGATAATGCGCGCGCGAATTTGTTACGCTTACCTGAGTGACATCGTCCCAGTATCCCCAAAAACGCGCGAATCGATCGCTATATTGCTCGTTATTCGGCATGCCCGCGCGCTCTTTTTCTATCGTCAGATCGTCATTTTGGCCTCATAGCTCGATACATGCCGAGACTAGCGACTCTACGTGTCTAGCCCGTTTGGCATCGGGGGACTCTAATGTCAGAAATCGGCCAGCCAGTTCTACACGCGCCGTCTGTTTAATCGCGCTTGCTCTTGATATACGTTAAACAACATCTATATGTCGCAAGAGCGAGGCTACTAAGCCCATCAGTACGCGAATAGCACGTTTAGAAGTGGCTGGCGCAAACCCGACTTCACAATATCGGCGGCAGGAACGTGCCTGAGTCATCGAGATTCGGATCCAGACTCGCGACGATATCACCGGTCGACGCGTGCCTCGATGTCGCCGTCTGCGTGCTGCTTGCCAGGGCGTGACTGCTCGCGCTGCCATTCAACTTGCTCTTTACCATTAAGCCACCGCCATTGTCGGTGCCGTCGGTGCCGGTCGAGACCTTTTGAACATATTTACGACCCTTGTAAAGCCGGTACATCGTGTACGGCGGATCTTCCATCGTCGTTGCTCGTTGTCGTGGCGCGCTGACAGTCACACTCACTGTCTGCGGCGCATGCGCAGACTCCCGCGACGTCTCGACGCTCGTCGTCGTCGTGTTCCCGCTCGCGTTTACCGTCGACGAAGCTATCGCCGAGGAAGAGGAGCTCACATGCGAAGAAGACGACGAAGTCAGCCACTCGTGACGCATCGCCTCGTCGGGGGTCATGCGTTTCTTTGGATCCCACCTTATGATATCAAAAATGGCACCGTTTACAAGAATGTCCGAGAATGGAAAATTTAGAAAATTAAAAAGAAAATTTATTTCCAGCGATTAAAACGAGAAAATTTTAAAATAGATTTCAGTCATTCTAAATTCAATTTCATTCATGTATTCTGACGTAATACATGCCAGAACACGTATTGTAGAAAACTTACTCGAGGCATCTGCTAACAAAATTTACGAACAGCATGTCGGAGCACCGAAGGGCCATTGAGAGGTTCTTGCTACCTGCCCATCTCTTTTTGCCTTTGCTATTTGTCACGCATCGCGGACTTCCTTTCTGATCTGTAATAATTTTAGAGTCGATTCTTTGAATACGTTACGCCGCACACGCCCACTTCTATCTTTAGGAGCGCTCCAAGGCATTGTACTTGTTAGCGTCGCGAGTAAAAACTTACCAAAGAAGAGCCTGCGACGAGTCGCATGACTGATAATGTGCTCCGGTGGCAGACCGAGGACTTCCATGATACAAGCGAGCTGCTCTATCTCATCTTCGCCCGGAAACAGCGGGTATCCCGTATACAGTTCGGCCAAGATACAGCCCAAGCTCCACATATCGATCGGCGTGCCATAGGGAAGACCAAGAATCACTTCTGGACTTCTGTAAAACCTCGACTGTATATACGTGTAGACGCGCTGATGACTATAACAAGAGGAACCGAAATCGATGACTTTGATCGAGCTACTACCCCGTTGTTTCAGCAGCACATTCTCCTATAACAATAACAGACAACACGTTTGACAGATAAAATTCGAATGCAAAGATGATATGCGTATACGCAACACGCGTGTACTTACCGGTTTTAAATCGCAGTGAATAATGTTTTCTCGGTAGAGCAGTCTCAGACAACTAATTAACGAGTTGGCAAAACGGCGGATTAGGCTCAGACTGAATCCTTGATAATTATTCTTTTTGATTAGCTCGTACAGATTTAAGCTGCAACGAAGAGAGACGACGATTTCATTTTATTCATCCGGTTTCAACAAAACTCATGCACAGAAAAAAAGGACATTCTTATTTTGAAAATATATTTAGTTTTAACATGGAAATCTTGAAATGAGATTATATCGCGTTAATTTAAGAAAAATATAATTGCTTGAATAATTGCTTACTTGAATGAAGCCATTTTATATAGTTCAATCGAGAAAAATATATTCTCATGATTTAAGATTTAATTTTCTTGAATGGAAAAGAAATAATATTGGATAGAAAATAACATTTTAAAGATTATAATTGTCTTAAAATAGAATTAATTACATATTCTTGAAGTGACAATTACAATAAGACGATAATATTGTTGAAATTTAAAATTATTAAATTCTTCCAAGAAGATTAGAAATTGTTGCGTATATACGAAACAATGAACGCGTTAGTTTAAGTATATAAGTTTTGATTTGACACTTCTTTTTTTTCTGTGTGCGCACGGACTCGAATCCGCGTTATCTCGCTTGCGATCGCTTACCTCATTAGTTCGAAACTGATGCACAGGTGATTCCGGAAGTAAAAATATTCTAGCATGTGTATCACATTATGTTGCGAATTTGACTCCAGATCCTTCTTCCTGAGATGTTCCAAGATCCTCACCTCGATAAGAGCCTGATGATGAAATCTCTTTTTGTTCCTGCAAGGACAATGAAAGCCGCACGCTGTTTAGATAAAGAAATTACGCGGCATTCAAAGAGTGATAAATGCCGGATGTACTATCGACACTCGTTCATTACGTGGATTTGTTCTCGGATCATAACTCGAAGTGAGTCATAGCTCGCGAGATGACTGTACTTGCGTTTCCGCGTACCTGATAATCTTGATAGCGATGTGCTGTCCCGTTTTATGATCCAATGCTCGAATCACCTGACCGAAGCTTCCCTTGCCAATCACCTCCAAAATCTCATATCTGAAAATCATGTGCATACAAGCTTCCAATGACATACGTGAGAAAATACAGTAATAAAGTAATATAACGTGCAAAAGTAAAAGATAAAAAAAAACATCCACGATACAAGCGCATTTGATGCATGTACTATTGTGCGCAAGAAAACTCATTCTTGCGTGAATGCTCCTATTTTTTTTCTTTTTTTTTTTTTTGCAATCCTTCGCATATATTTGGGTGTGAATTTATGTCAGTTCTCAACCGCAATTTCTCCGCGAGAGTAATGACGAAATTACAAGAACACGCGCGATTGCAAGATTTTAGATTACGCTTCAGATCCGGCTAGCGAGATCTCGCCAGACAAACGGCGACAATAACGATTAAAGAAGAGAGGAAGAAAAATCACGCGCCAAGACTCTCCGTGAAAGATAAAGGCTCACCTGTAGGAGATGTGATCATGCAGGACCTTGTTGTAACTGCCATTCTCGTCGTCGTAACCTCCGTTCTGAGAAGAGACCTCTTCGCCGTGAATTTTGTGGGCCGTCAGACCCAGATACCAGATCTCCGAGTACTTTTCAATTTCGGCGCGTTCGAATTCTGTCAGTCTGGAGCCGTAATACTTCACCGCATCCTGGGGTGTCATTGGTAATCTCCCGGCTATTTTTTTCGAAAGAATCATGTATTAAATAGCTGTGTATTTCAGGAGTTTGCGCGAGTTATACAAGTTTGTATAACAGCAACATGCAAAAATTTTTTTTAAATATAAACTTTTAGAATAATGCCGGCACATTTATTGTATTTTCTTTAATGATTTTCAATTACAGAAAACTTTTCTTTGTAAAAAATTTTATAAATGTGTATTTTTTATTAAGCTGTATATAGAGATATATCTATTCATTGCGGAAGATAAATTGAAAATTACCTCTTCTTTGAGGAATATGAATAATCTCTAATTAATGGAATTAAATCTTTTTAATTCTTATCAAATCTTGTTAATATATATTTTCACGAAACTATGAGAAAGAGAGAATGTTTTTGTTCGTTCAAAATATCGAGAACCGTCTTTCCTCCGAGAAATGTAAATAATATCCTTGTATAAGCCATAATATCCCTACGTGTGTAATTTGCGTCACCGTTAGAACACTTTGCATTTTCAAATATCCGCATCTTAAATATTCGTTCGATCAACGACGCGAATTTAAATGACAGCGCGTTTCCCACTTGCGCCATATAAGGTTTCGCGATTCTCATGTAATAGCGTTCTCACGTACCGTATACTTCGGGAGAAGTAGCGCTGATGGGTTCGTGCAGCGGCATATTATGAATGTTGTTACTCGTGTTGTTGGAGTTGTTGGCATTGTTGTTGTCCGATTTATCCACTCGCGTCGGCTTGGTATTGAAGAAAGACGGTAATTTCTGAAACAAACGGAAAAATTTCGCCCTTTTACATAAAAGCCTGTCAAAATCGCACGTGTTATGAAAATTTGTTACCTCGACCCGGACTCGTAAAGTCGCAGGTTTATTTTTATTTATTTACCCACGTGTGTTTTGCCGCGACATGTTTCATAATCAACGAGTTTCTCAAGGGAATAGAAGCCCGACCTTATTCGCCATAATTCATTATTCGCTATAATTCGATATTAAGGATATTTTGTACCTATTTTTAAAATATTGAGAATTTAATGAAAATTATACAGAATGTCCTTACATATGTTTAGAATCTTTAGTACAATTTTTAAATTGATTCACTAAAGTGTTCACAAGTTATAAGGATTTTAATTTGCACCGAATTAACATGTGTTCTTATGAGAAACGTATAACCACGTCGATTCAAATGACAAAAACACACGGAAATAATATTCAGAATTTGTTTGAAATTTGCAAAAGTTTAGATGCAGAGGAAATATTTGGTCAAATAATATTATACAAATACTAACTGGTTAAAAAGATATTAATATAATTTAATGAAGTTAGTCATGTATCTGGCGAAATCACAAGGCGAAATTCTCTGCCAAAATTTAATCATTTCGATTAACAAAATTCGGAATATTTCAGTAAATAACGCAATAAATATTAAAAAATACATCGCTGCACTGTAGCTAAGCTCAAATTGTAATATTCCATACAATTTCTCATACTCAAAATACACCAAAAGTGGATATTTAATATTGATTTTCAGCTACTTTTTGCTGAGATTGTACATACAAAATATCCTTAAATATCATTCGTTAATCTCGCGAATTTCATTCTGAAACGGAGACGTAAAATCGATCCATTACATCCGTGCAGAGGCATTTAACATTTCAAACGATAGAAGAAAACATTGAATGAGAAATTTTTACCCGACAAGAACCGTCTTCAAATTTACGAGAAAGTCTGACATCCGGCATATTATAATATATCAATGTACCGACCATAATTTCTCAAAGTACCTTCCGTTCGTTTCTCCGCACCGCAATTTTATCGACATGAGAAAATAACACCGCAATTATCCCGCGTTCAATTTTCGCGTTAAAATTGCCCGAATCGCTTTTGTGGCGGCGACGATCGAAGCTTTTTTTCTCGATGTGAAAGTGGTGCGACGCGGTATAATCTCTTAAAGAAAGTAGAACACGGCACACAGAGTGCGAAACGCGCATCGGCGTTATATACGTGTATATGTTGACCCCCGATTTAACACAAGTTTAACGACACCGAGGAAGAGAGTGACCCGAACAATTATTTCTTCGTCGCGAGAAAGAGCCAAAGTTGTAAACGTTGGCGAAGCGACGTCTTTCCGCACCAAGGGCAGTCACCGGTCGCGAATGCATCTCGAATGACAATCAGCCTTCGCTGTTGTTCCCGGTTCCTGCGCCAGGGTCTCCGCTCGTTCATTGGATTTCTTCGCGCGTCTTTCCGTCGATGTTAAATATTTATATGATCGATCTCGGATGCCCGTTGTCGATAGCGAGCACATCCGGCGCCAGGAAATATATTTATGGAAACTCTCTTGGCATATAAGTCTATAGGAGAAACGTAAACCTTATATATACAATGACCAAACGATAAATTATCACGATGTACTTGATGTCTTTTACCGTAAACAGACAGATCAAATAATCCACAGAGGATCTTTCATATAATATGTTTAGCGGATGTTTCATTTCATTTCTCTTTAGCTATTGAATCTACGCGTAATAAAAAAAAAATATCGAGAAAAACGAGAGATGATGAATTTTTATTTATCTATAAAGGAAAATATTTATATGCGTGGAATTTCCGCAGCGTTTAAATGCCTTGCCGGAGCAGACATCTTGCAAGGTGGATACCACGCTCACCTCGCCCCAGATGTAGTACTGTTAGCGATATTTATGCACGACATTTATGAGAAAATATCGAAATAACGACTGCACTCTGTATGAATACTCAATTACTCCGTATAATGTTGCGCGCGTCGTTTGACGTTTACCTTCGCGAATGTATAATTTTTCACGTATGAAATATACCGAAGTACGAAGCCCATGTTGAACACGCATTCGATATCATTATGATTATTCTATCTCAATTAATCTCGATCACTCTAGATAGACCTCTTCGCGAAAGCATTTGATGATGTATGTGAAGGCGCGCGTAATGACAAGGAACGACGCGATTTGGCGTCAATTGATCAGGCCTGACGGCAATTAAGGCCAGACTGTTGGCATAAATTCTCATTAAAGGGTCGCCAGACGGTTCACGAATGCTCTCACGCGTCCTTGTTGTCTTCTAGTTTTACGTCTACGCGATTGCATTGACCATCGATTCGATCCTAAATTGTGTAAATATAGCACATTGTTACGCGATTTTTACGACGCTCAATCTAACGTTACGTTATACGTGATGCACGCACTGAGAAAAAAAATCTGGTTGCATTAATTAGAATTCTGGTAGATTCAACCAGTATGTCTGTTGGAAAATGGACGAACCGGAATTCTTGTAGGAATTATCAGATGAATTTGATTAATTTCTTCCTGTTAAATTTACCAAATTTTCTGGTTAATAATACTAAACTCGCCAGCACCAAGTCGTCTAAAATTTTTTCCATCTAATCTCAAAAGTATGTTTAATATTCTGAATTTCAACAAGATTATTTGACAAATTCAGATTATTGAATAAATTATTTTAAGTTCAGTTTGTTAGAAATTAAACTGATAAATAGTGATGCAAGAAGAGGATGCAGCTCAAATATACACAATCAGAGAGCTAGCGTCCTCTTTCTGGCACTACTGCTCGTAAGAAAAAAAAATATACTTTGGATTTAATGTTAATACTAGTTCTTTATATACATTTCATGATAAATATTGAATAAGAGTTAAGTTAAGAGTGACAAACAAAAAAATTAATGTATCAAGAAATTTTATAGATCCAACCAGAAAATACTAATCAAATCCTTATAGTAAAATCTATTAACGTTCTAGTTATAAAAAATCTTATCATTAGAAATTCTTGTTTGATTTAACCAAAATGCCTTCAATCATACGTCTTGTTGGTATAATCAAACGATTTTTCTCAGTGCGTGATTTGCATTTCGTAAAAATTGTACGCGCGGCAAAGGAAACTTTGGCATTAAAAATTCAGATTTGAAAATGAATCGACGGCCGACTCTCTCTTCTGACCTGGCGTAATGAAAAATTATTATCAGCCATCCGTTGCGTGGCTCGGACCGGCGATACGCGGATGAGTTTCATGCGGAGGGAGATCGCGGCATAAATAATAAAAAGTCGCGAGTGAATAACCGTGCAGTCCGGAGGCCGCTCGTATAAATTGTAATCTTACATTTACCGCGCCCCCCTTTCCTTCTCTCTCTCTCTCTCTCTCTCTCTTTCTCTCTCTCTCTCTTTTTCTCTCTTTTTCCTCTCGCTGTGCCTGATCGATCGTAGCTGAGAGGCTACTTCGTCGAGCGACAGAGGCTTCTCGCTGCAGCCAAGCCTCGATGCAACGAGTCGGGCGCGCTTAACTCACGCATAAATAACACGCACGAATCGTGCCGCCAAGATTCACGTAATGACCCTCGGAGATACGCCAACGTTGAGAGCGCAGGTAGAGGAGAGAAGCAGCCTTGCGCAATAATGTAACATTGTTCGGCGGCCTGGCTCGAAAATAGATATATGGCCGCGTCTCGCTCCACAGTTTTCAGGAGAGCGGGACCAGCTAAATGCGCGGTAAAGGGGAGAGAAATTCATCCAAGGACGCGAGAGCGAGCGCGGCCAATAACCGTGTATTTCCATCTACCGATCGCAGATAGACATCGTGCACAATAATTCCCCACATCTCTCCCTCTGTGTTATGTATATGCGGTTTACCTTGTGACATCTCCCGGTCTCGCGGCCGCCTTTCTAATGCTACGCGTTCGCCAACGCAAAATTGCAGCTGCTCCCCGAGATTACATATAAAGCGCGCGATCCAACGAGTACCTACCCGTGATACTCGGATACGTGGGACTCTCGCGGAGAAGCACGTGGGCGGTTGGTATCTCGGTACATGTATACATATCTATCGGAAGCACGATGGTGGAAACGTCACTGCCACGTGCGTGGTGCGCAACGCACAAGAGAGGAGAGCTCATTAACCCCGCGGACAACTGGAGCGCGGAGTCGCGTGTTTGTTAAGTGAACGCCTTGAAAGTGACTTAAGGATGTTTCGTACCTATTTTCAAAATATTGAGAATTTAATGAAAATTGTACAGAATGTCCTTACATATGTTTAGAATCTTCAGTACAATTTTTAAATCGATTCACTAAAGCGTTCACAGTTGTAAGGATTTTAATTTGCACCGAATTAACATGTGTTCTTATGGGAAACGTATAACGTATAACACGATTCAAATGACAAAAACACATGAAAATAATATTCAGAATTTGTTTAAAATTTGCAAAAGTTTAAATACTGAGAAAATATTTGTCCAAATAATATTATACAAGTACTAACTGGTTAAAAAGATATTAAATATAATTCAATCAAGTTAGCCATGTGTCTGTCACAAGGCGAAATTCTCTGCCAAAAGTTAGTCATTTCGATTTACAAAATTCGGAATATTTCAGTAAAAACGTAATAAATATTTAAAAATACATCTCTGTAGCTAAGATCAAATTGTAATATTCCATACAATTTCTTACTCAAAATACACCAAAAGTGGATATATTCGTCAATATTAATTTTCAGCTACTTTTTGCTGGGATTGTACATACAAAACATCCTTAAACGCGTTGCGGATATACAATGACAGCGCAATAGCGCGTTTTCACCGCACGCTCGGACGCTAATTGTGCATGGGATGCACACAACAAGTGCGTACTTTCTCTTGCGAATTTTCCGAATTTTCCTCGAGAAGCACTTCCATGAACAAACTACTCAAATTACTAAACAATTAAAAATTTGCGACGCAAATGAAACTTTAG